GATAAATGACTTCAGTATAGTTAGAAAAAAATCAAGAGGTAAGATAAAGTGACTTTAAAGTTCTAGGTATAGTGTAGAGACCTTGATTTCATTTTACTTATGTTTATATCTGCTCTCTTGTCAGATACTTGTCAAGGCGGAAGGATAATGACCTAAAGGTAGCTTTTCATCACAACATACCTCTAACACTGTTGCCCATTTTTGTTGTTGTTGTTGTTGTTGTTGTTCCTGGCTAGGTCTTCCTGGACCAAAAGGGATAGAAAAGAGCTATCATAACGAACTAGCTCTAGTAGAGCCCTGTGTGTGAAAGTGCGGGTGTTTGTATAATGATGCAAGAGCATTTCATAGCAGGCAAGTTACATAATGATATAAATATATTTTATTTATATGTATGTCTAATTACGTAGACTAATGAAATGCCATTTACAAGAGGTGGTCTTACATGTGACACAGGTCATATTCTGAGATGACAACCTGCAGGGGCTAGGTTTAATTTTGGGCCCCTTTTAACTTACAATAATTGTCAAATGAACCAGTCCTTGGTACATCAGGGAGTATCTGGATAGCCACCATCCATGCATTTATTCAGTTAACTGTGTTGTGTCCTGTTCTGGGCTGGGCATTAGGGGAGGCCTTGGGCACATGAGGTGAACCAGACATAGTGACCATCCTCAAGGAACCAACCCATGGTCTGCTGGAGGAGGCAGACATGAACCAGCATGCATGCTGCTGGGTGGCGAGTGCTGTAGAGAAGTGCACAAGGCTGGCCCTGCAGCAGAAGTCTCTGCTCACCTATTCATGCGGGTGCAGGTTGAGGAGGGACAGGGAAGGGAGGGCAAGAGTAGGCACCATTTGAACTGTCTTCACAGCCTAAGTCCAAATCTAATGCTGTTTTTTGCACTTCCCATATAAATTAGATAACTTCTAATTTTATTTTTATTTTTTATTTATTTATCTTTTTGTTTTTTTGAGATGGAGTTAGCTCTGTCGCTAGGCTGGAGTGCAGTGGTGCGATCTCGGCTCATTGCAGCCTCCGCCTCCTGGTTTCAAACAATTCTCCTGCCTCAGCCCCCTGAGTAGCTGGGATTACAGGCGCGTGCCACCATGTCCAGCTGATTTGTTTTTGGGTAGAGATGGGGTTTCACTGTGTTAGCCAGGATGGTCTTGATCTCCTGACTTTATGATCCACCCGCCTCGGCCTCCCAAAGTGTTGGGATTACAGGCGTGAGCCACCGCCGCCTGGCCGACTTCTAATTGTTTTAAGAAATGCCTTTGTTATTCTCCCACTTTGTATCTAAATGGCAACTGGATGCAATAGAAAGCGCAGTCTGGGTCATCCAGGCCTGTCTTTGAATCCTGGCTGCCATCTGACAGCCACTTGACCTTTCTGAACTTCATGTAAAAAGGGGATAATAAAATCTGCCACACATGATGGTTGGCAGGATTAAATGAGATGTGTAACAATATAACAATACGTATTAGTACCCCCCCTTTTCTTAGCACACTAAAACAGAATGACTTGTAAACGGTAAGTTATTCTGAAAGGCGGCTGATGAAACAAGAACACAGGATTCACTATGAATAAGGAGAGTAACTAACATTAGGTACCATTTGTTGAGTCAGGCACCATTTTAAGTGCTCTCTCTGCAGTTATGTATTCCTCACACTAACAATGTCAGGGACCATTATTTTATCTCCACTTTACAGATGAGAAAATTGAGGCTAGAGAGGTTAAGTAACTTTTATCAATCCTGCCTGACTGGCCCCAGAGCTCTTAAACATCAGCATGGAGCTTTTGAAGAGGGTAACAGCAGTAATGATATCTTAGATTTTTATAGAGCTTCATCCTTTGAAGAACACTTCTGTGTACATTGTTACCTTTGTTTCTCATTAGAAAATATAGGAGATGGCTAGACATTAGATTAGAAAACTAAGGTACCCAGATGGGAGTGTTATTTGCCCAAGGTTACTAAATCAGTATGTGGCCTTGTTGGTACAAGAACTTTTTCCACTTGACTCTTGCGAGTGTTTATAGAATGAAAGAACAGGTCAGGAATTTTTTTAAAGAAATGGTTGCTGTTAAATTTTTAAAAATACAAGCTGGGTGCTGTGGCGGGCAGCTGTATTCCTAACCACTCGGGAGGCTGAGGCAGGAAGATCACTTGAGCCCAGGAGTTCCAGGCAGCAGTGAGCTATGATTGCATCATTGCACTCCAACCTAGGCCACAGAGCAAGATGCTATCTCTTAAACAAATTAAAAAACAATATGGAACAGACACAGGAAGTTAGTTTTGTTGCTTAAGGTCTCATGTCAGGCTATTGGTCAGCTAGAATTAGAAAAGACAGATCCAGCTTCTGAGTGACCCAAGTGAAAGAATTTGAAAAGTACCAGTGCATCTATTTTCTTGGCCACTTGGAACCAGGGTACATCCTTATGTCTCCTGCGATTCTGGAACCACTGGAGGGAGGGGCAGAGAACATGAACTGGCCCTGGGACCTCACTTGCCCTTAGTTCAGATTGCGTCCTCCAGAGCCATAAGACTTCTTTCCGAAGGTGGGCCAGGGAGGCCACAGCCAGAAGGGAGATGATAAGGATTTGTGCTGGCTGTGTGGTGGGGACGATACAGGGGGCTTGGGCCACCTTCAGACCAATGCTAATCAGCGCTCTCTCTAAATTGAAGGCTTAGTGCAATTTTAAAGACAGCAAAAGACACAAGAAACCAAGTAAGCTTTGACTGAAAGCCTCTTAGGATTATGTGGTGTTTTGTCCTGTAGCTGGGGATCCAGTTACAGATGCCTGTGATTATGGCCTTTGCAAACAATTGTCAGAGAAATGCATAAGATTTCCAAAGGCTGCAGAAGAGCAGATGTGGAATTAAATTTCAAGCACAGTTACCCATAATGGCTTACATGTGGGCATAGAGTATTTAGGATTCAAGCCTAAGTCTCCCACTTTGTCCAGGAGGTGTGGGATGCAGAGTCAAAAGCAGGGATCAGAAATGTCAGCATTTTCTGGTGGTCTTTTTCTGCTGCATCATTTCTTCTTGGCCTGCAGACCCTTTAAAGTGGTGAAATTCTTCCATAATGGTTAGCTTGCAGTGTCTACCATTGTCATCATTTGACCTATTTAGTAAGAAGACTCTATTTGGCATCTTTGCCAGCAAGCATCAACCATGCCAGCAGACTGTGGAAAATGTGAGTCTTTGGGACTAACTTTAATTGGCTTTGCAGCAGACATTTTAACTTAATTTAATATTGCTAGCAAAGTTCAAGGTATTTAGACTTGCCTTGTTTGATATCTGTTTTTTTACAATTCATATGGCAAGGACTTTAGATGACTGACTGTAAGAAATACCTTCATTTTATTACTAATAATGAAGGGAAAAAGTGGAAGGGATAGAAGTAGTTGTAACAATTTAACAATAGAAGTAGTTGTAATAATTTAACAGTTGTATGTTACTGAAGCAGCAGCTACTGAGTTTCTCCACACCTCAAATAAAGAAGTACCTTACTGAGTTTAAAAATCCACTAAGTATTCATTAGGCAGCAAAAAGAATTACAAAGACTATTCCAAGTGTTGGTATATATAAAAAGAATATTCTAGTTTTTGTTGTGTGGAAATGCTCCTTTCTAGAACTTTTCAAATAATTGCTAGAAAATATAACTTATACTATATCAATAAACAAAGGAGCCAAGGTTGAATAGTGGGGCAGAATTTAGGGACTGACTATTTTTCCCCCTTTAAAAACCTGGGAGTTTTTGCTGTTGTTTTATTTGAATGTGGAAGCTCCTACCTGAGGGGGTGGAGCAGGAGTGTGTGCCAGCCTTGCATAGAATCACTGCCAGGACAGTGAAACCATGCCAAGTGGTGGTCTTCGTTACAGACTCTGTTGCCTGAGAGTGTTGAGGTTTTGTGTGCCTGAGACAAAGGGCAGAGGAAGCTGAGGATAGGGAGCCTGTGGTATACCAGCTGTGTGATGACTCAGTGTGCCTGGGCTTCACTTACTGCAGTTATGAAATGAGGACATGACTGTTCCTATCTTCTACTCAGTCTTCTGGAAAGCCAGATGGGATAGCATTCCTCCGCAAATGAGACAACATGAAAATCAAATGGGATAGCATGAAAGAATGGCAACAGTTAGTACGTGTGCCCTGTTTGATCACTGTGAAATCATCTCACGTAATCCTCACGGCTGCTTGGTGAGGTGCATGTTGTTGACTCCTGTGTTTGAGATGAGGAAAAAAGTTCTTTGAGGTTTGAGTAACCTGCCCGAGGGAAGAGAGAGGAAAGTGTACAGTTACCACCCATGGGAACTGGGCTCTGCTAAGCAGTGTCTCATGATTAGTTTGTTACATTTCCAAATGGTGCATGATGAAGCTGCTACTTAAACCCAAGAATTTGAACTCCAGGGTTGGTGCTGTTCCTCATCCTCAAGCCCTTTAGAGAGGTGAACCTTGTATTTAAAAAATAACCTTATTACTTCTTCCACATTACGCTCTGATGTTCCATGACCTTTTAGGCCACTGGGAGGTAATACAAGAAAGGCTTGTGTTGCTTGTTATGGCAGGACCTTGGGCAGGCTCCTTTATGCATCTCATCCCCAACTCCAACCCCAACCCAGTCTCCCCATCTATAAAATGGGGTTAATAGCCTATCTCATAAAATTGTTGTGAGTTTTCCATGAAGACAAATGCTATTAAGTGCCTAGCACAGTGCCTGGCATATAGCCAGGGCTCAGTTAATACATGTTGATGATGATGAGGAGAAGGAGGTTGTTTTAGTGCTCTCAACTAAAACCTTGAGAGCACTGAGAATCTTCGCAGTAACAGAAAATCTTCTTCCTCCTCCTCCCTCTCCTGCTCTCCCTCCCTCTCCACTCCCAGTATAGAGAAATGGCCAGACTTTAACAATAGCAAAATCTCTAAACTTGGGTTACCTTATTATAGGTCATGTGAGGGTTTTTTGCTTTAAGGACAATTTTTATCTGTTTCTTTTGCAGAGTCAGATTCTAAAACGTGGAGGAAATGAACTACCCCTTTGTACTGGGTTCAAATTAATAATCCCTGTTAGACTGAATGTACCTCCCCAGAAGGGCCTGCCTCAACCACAGCTCTTGGTGAGTGGATGCTCTCTCTGCCACTGGATTGTAACTTCTAGGAGCAGGGAGCAAGACTTGGCTGGCGTCTCTTGAGCCCTCACATTGCTCTCCTATGTTGTTGATAGATCATGCGGCTATTGTACTTTGTTACAGGACAGGTAGCTGGGAACAAGCATTCTACTGAGAACCTAGAGTTAGAGATGGAGTAGAGTGTAGTGGTGTCAAAATCCTTGTACATAGATGATTCCTGGAAGACATTTCCCAGAGAAAACTGACAGCGAAGTAAAGTCATTTGTTTCACCCATTGATTTCTTGGTAAAGTACATGTTTCTAGGCAGAGGCTATCTTGAGATAAGAAGCCCTTGAAATGCATATGACCTGGCTCTGGGTGTGTGCGCATGTGTGTGTGCATGTGTGTGTGTGCGCGCGCGTGTGTGTGCGCGCGTGTGCTCATGCATGGCCGCGCACGTGTGCCCATATGCAAGAGAGAAACAGCCTAAGCGCTTCCTAAACAGGGGTAAATATGGCTATTTGAAATGGAATTGCCAAAACCTCTGTACCAGAACTTTCCCTCCTGCAAGAGAAGGAAATTATCAACTTAACCCTGATTGTAGTTTCCCAATTCCAAAACTCCCTAAAACCCCCCTGAGAGAGAGAGAGCCTGGACCCAGCCTCATTTAGATCCTTTAATTGGCAAAAAATGGTTCTTACTCCTCCTTTTCCCTGCCCCTGAGGTTATAGTTCTTTCAGCTCTCTCATGGCTTTTGAAAATCCCGTAATACTCCTTTTATTCTTCTTGTGATGAGCATCTTGTTTTTGTCAAAAAGGTAATGTGCTGGCATTTCCTATCTTTACATTGATCCTCTAAGCAAGTGAAGTACAGAGGACCATGCCAGAAGAGGGAGCATAATTAATATCTTTGTGATTCTGTCCAACTTCCTAAGAAATGATTAAAACTCAGTTATCCTGGTGTTTGCCAGTTGAGGTCAAGCCAACATCTGTACTTGTCTCTCTTTCCCAGAGGGCATGACAAGGAAAGAGAAAGAGAAGAGTTCAAAGAATTAAAAACATAGTTTTCATTAGGATAACATTTGGGGTCAGGTAAACATCTCTTTGGAGTTTCATTGAAAAATTCCAGGAGGCCAAGGGCAGAAATCTCTGGAAGGCTTGTTTCAAGGAGTGTAGCTCAGTGGAAAGTTCACTTTTAAAAAAATTTAAGAAAACTGAATATGATATTGCTTAGGGGAGTCTAAAAAAAAAAGGACATCAGAAAAACAAAATTGTCTTGTTCTCATTTAGAAAGTGTGGAAGGCCTGGGAAAGATTTTCCCCAGTGACTAAGAAGTATTTCTTCATTGTCTGTAAGCTACTCTCCTTTTAGGAGCTGTGGAGTCATTTCTTAAGGCTGTGAGCTTGAGTCTTGGTTGGACTCAGCTTGGGGAGAGTGCAATATGACTGTCCGTAGTGAGCCAGGCAAATGGACCCGTGTACGGCAGATAGCCTAGTTCTTGGTTGTTCACTTCTGTGTTGTTCCAGTTGCCAGTTTCAGCGTTTAAATGACACCTTTTATATGAGTTGAGCTCTTATTTAACTTAAAAAAAAAGTTGAGAGAAACAGCCCCCTTTGACTCTGAAGGAAATTAAACCCCACGTCAAGATACCAATGGGAGATTGTGGAATTTCTGTCCTGGAGATCTTCAGAAGTAGAACATAAAAATTAGGTCACTTAAGTAAGTCTGCTTGGAGGCTGACCAGGATGGCCTCTTGCAGTGTTTCAAGTTTATGAAACAACTCATGTTAATATTCATATACTGTTAGAGCATCAAGACAATCAGTCCTTTGTTACCTTATCCTGTGACTTCTTAAAATGTTTTGACTTCCCTATGCCTGGAAGGCCTGTGTCTCTCATTTGCATTGTATGATACTGTTGCCTGTGGAAATTTAGGAATGAGTGGGATAGAGGAAGTAAGAGGGGTTGTCCTTTTAGAAAACATTTGATCTTTTCAGAGGATGGTGCTGAGAGGACACTTGGCATAGACAGAACATATTAACAATATGTTGAACATATTAATATGACTGAACATATTAACAAAATCTCTAAAGAACTGCACTTAGCTTGTGGGTACTTCCTGTAAAGGACTATTGCATTGCCAATGATCAAGTTTGCTAGCTTTAAATGATCTATAAAATGCTAAAAGTTTACTTGGTTCAATGTCACTGGAAGCTATTTCACTTTAAAAAGTTAAGAAGACTGTTGGTTTCCATATAACAAACCTGCCTATGTACCCCTGAACCTAAAATAAAAGTTAAGAAACAAACAAACAAAAAAAGATTGTCGGAAGTAAGATTTTAAACTCATCTGGCTCATGACAAAGAATTGAAAAGTCAAAGAAAAGGTTATTTGTGGAATGTCAAACCACAGTGAACATAGTTCTTGGTGACTTGTTGAATTTCCAGTGTCCCCGGGGCCCTCTCTTCTCCTGCAAATTGCATCCTGTTCAGATGCCTACCACAGAGTGGCAAACCAGTTTCCCTCCCTCCACTGCCCTTAAAGAGACACAGCTTGTGGCTTGTCAGCACCTGTGCGGAGGACTTGTGTTTTTAGGAATGGGAGGAATTGAAGGCTGTTCAAGGTTAAAGGTGTTAAAGGTGCTCGGCAGACAGAAGAGCAAAAAGCAAAATTGGGAGACTTACCTGTACTATTTATTTACTTTTTCATGGGTAATTTATGAAGACTCTAATTTCTTTCATTCTTTTTCGAGTAAAGATTTATCTTACATATTTTGGCTGGGCACAGTGGCTCACGCCTATAAGATTGCACCAGGCCACTGCGCTCCAGCGTGGGCGACAGAGCAAGACCCTGTCTCCAAAGAGAAAGTTTTACAAATTTAAATTAGAAGATTAAATGTCATCTGCAACTCTCCTTCTTGAAATTGTCCAGTCTGTGCAGGATAAAGACTTTTCCAGAGACGTAGAAACTAAATTACACTATCTTCCCTTTGTTTTTCTTCTGTTTGTCTTTTGTAGTGTGTGTGTTATTTTCCTGGCCAGGGGAAAATGAAGGAGAGAACTCTAAGCTATAACATTTTGTTTTAGTGCTGTTTTCTTTGCTTGTTCTGTTTTAAAAAGACACACTCATTAAAATAAAACCTCAGTTTTTAGTTATTTCTCTCCTTTAACATTTTGTGGAGTTAGTTTTGCCATGTGGTGGTTTTCTTTTTTTGAGATGGAGTCTTGCTCTGTCACCCAGGCTGTAGTGCAATGGCACAGTCTTGGCTCACTGCAACCTCTGCCTCCCAGGTTCAAGCGATTCTCCTGCCTCAGCCTCCTGAGTAGCTGGGACTACAGGCATGTGCCACCACGCCGCCTAACTCTTTTGTATTCTTAGTAGAGATGCAGTTTCACCATGTTAGCCAGGATGGTCTCGATCTCCTGACCTCATGATCCGCCCGCCTCGGCCTCCCAGTGATGGGATTACAGGCGTGAGCCACCGCGCCTGGCCCTCCGTGTGTTGGTTTTCAAGATGTTTGTTTATTTACAGCAGAGCCCTTTCTTTCAAATGAAATCTTGTGTTTAACCCTAATATAGGAAACAGGTTAAGAGCTGCTGCCCTGGGACGGGGGTTGCCCGCAGCCTCCTCCTTGCCACGTGGTCCCTGAGGCACAGCTGAGCAGTCTGTTCTATAATCCACTGGGAAGAACACAGGATTAGGAGGCAGTGTCTGTTTTGCAGTCCCTAGCTCTGCCACCAAGACCTTTTGTCACTTTATGTCTCTGGATTCCTTTATGAAATGATGACTTTGGGCCAGAGTCTCTCTGAGGTCCTTCCTGCCCTAACAGCAAGCAGTTCTGAGTCACACAGAGAGACTGAGGTGGTGAGGTGTTTGGTGACGCACAGCAAGAACAGGTCTGGAGAGAGGACGCATCACCCTGCGTTAGCATGAGTAGCCTTCACTTCACGCAAGCGAAAGCTCAGGAATGAAAACATGCATCAGCAGAATTGCCCCTGAGGACAACGTTTTCTGAAGGTTTCAGCGAGGCATCTGCAACCCTTTAGCACAGAAGAATCTGTGGCGAAAAGGACTTCAATCAATTGTAGGTGGTTGTTTACCACTGATTGTTGTTGAATTTGCTGGTCAGCAGTGGTTTAGTTAAAACCGTTTTCCCTTACTAGACAAAATTGTGTCCCATCACTTTGTTGTTGTTGTTAGTTGGGAAATGCATCTGAGACATAGTTCAAGAATCTGCAGCCAATTAACACATTTGGTTTGAGAATGGAGATGGTGAGGCCAGGGTCAGGGTTCAGTTGCTATGTGGGCCAGTTAGCTGGGCTGGGCCCTCTGGCCAGACTGTACTTTTAACCCCTACCAGCTGGCTCTCACATGTGTGCCATGGGTCACAGGGAAGGGTTAGAGGGCATGGAAGGAAATCCCAACTCAGCCTTTCCTCCTGGGGCCAAGCCGAGCCTTTACCCTGCTGCCGGAGGGCTGGGCCTGGTGTACAGAGGGCACCCTCCCCACGTCCTTAACAGCTAAAGGGAAATGTGAAATACTCCCCACGGACTAGTGTCTTCACGCCCGCTGTTAGTGGACCTCTTCAGTCTGAAGACAAAAATTCCCTCCTCTAAGTTAGAACAGACATTATGGAAATAATGCTTCATAGTTCTCGTTTTGAGCATACTCTCCTCTTTGGGAACTGGGAGAAGAGCTGGCATTAAAAGAGAAATTTGCTTCTATTTTGGATATTTGCGTCTATTGGATTTAGTTATAATTTGTTTCCTATAAAATATAGGAAAGACAAGTAGTTTGAAGTAAATGATCTCAGGCCCTTTTGATGAGAAAAGTGTTCGTTTCTATTACACAAAATTCAAACATTACAGAATTCTAAAACTTCTTAATCTCTGCACAAACCTACTCCCATGGTAGCCATCATCAAGATAATCCTGAATCAATTTTTAAATGGACATAAAAGTTAGAATTTTAAAACTTGTGATTTATTTTTCCCCCAGAATTAATTGGGTC